GCAGTAATCTGGTAAACCCTCTGTTTCTCAAGTTGATTTTAATAGGTGCTGAACTTTAGAGCTTTATGACTGGGAGCGTAGTTAGTGTTAAGTTTTGAGTGACTTGTTTCACACGTGTTGGCTACTGAACTTTATGAATGGAGGGATGAAGTTGGTGGTGATTTAGAGGTACTCAAGCCTCTTTGAGGATAGGGCTGAAACGTGAGCAAGACCCTTTCTCTGAATTCATTTAGATTTTCCTTCTCTTTCAACAAAATATATAGAATTGACCGAGTAATACAGATAACCATGCACATGTACTTCATTTTTAGCAGTGTTCAGCATCCCGTATGTCTATTCAGCATTGAATTTAATTTATCAAATCCTTAATCTTTCTTTAAACCCCTCTTTCTTTTGGTGAAATATTACTGGGAGCGTGCAATTAACATTTTCTATAAGCTTGTCCTCTTCTATTTAATAACAAAGTGGCCATGACAGGAGTTCTAAGAAAACAACAACAACAACTTCAAGCCTTTATCCTACTAAAATTTCTTAAAGGATTCATGTCATTATTATTCGACAAGTTTTACGCTGTCCGTTTACTACCTAACACAACACTCTACTTTTCTCATCCAGGACTTGTGATCTGGTAACGGCAGTGTTACAGGAGTTCTAAGAATGATTAAAAAAAAAAAAGCATTCATGTAGACTTTTGTATATTTCCTCATTTCATTTGCTTGATATCATGATTCCATGCATTGCAGATTCTTCCAGATGACATTCGACAAGCTTTGATGCTAATGGTGCGATGTTGCATGGATCGGGACTACCTGGCAGCAATGGACCATTACATCAGGACGGCCATTGGAAATGCACCATGGCCTATTGGAGTGACTATGGTTGGCATCCACGAGCGATCTGCTCGCGAGAAGATCTACACCAACAGTGTGGCGCACATCATGAATGACGAGACAACTCGGAAGTACCTCCAATCCGTGAAGAGGCTTATGACATTTTGCCAGAGGAAGTATCCCGCACTTCCATCCAAATCTGTGGAGTTCAATAGCTTGGCAAATGGAAGTGATCTGCATTCCTTATTGGCTGAGGAAAGGACCAAGACTTCAACAACCGAAGAAAAGCTTCGGTTAATGCCTGCACCATAAATACAACTAATTTATGCTTCTCAGGTTTCTTTCCTCTTGAGAATCAAATATGCGTAGATTGATTCAGATGCCGCTTCTTTTTTATGTTTACTATTACTTGCTTGTTATTGTGTTTTTAAAGAAATAGTCTGTCCTTTTACTGTATTCTGTATAGACTAGAGAGCTCTCTCGTTTCTTTTGTTGCTTGAAATCTATATCAAACAATACTCAGCATGTTTATTGATAGTAATGGTTGGCCCCATGAAGAGCATCACTAAATTTTCTCTGAGCTCCGGTTGCTCAGCCAAGGTATTGGGAAGATATGAAGGTGTACTTATTTTGTAAATAGCATGGGCTCCCTTCTCACTTTTCACAAAAAGGTTGGGCTGATTTTTTGATGTACTGTTATAAAATATGTTTATCCTATATCAGATGTGTAATGTACCACATATATAATACCTGCATCTTGCACTTCAACCTTAAAATTTGTTTGCTGTTAGATCTCATGGAATTTTATAATGATTTGGCTGATTCAATTTTTAAGTCAAATTCTGAGCGTGTTTGGAATGACTTGAGTTAGTTCACAATAAGCTATATATAAAATAATAATAATAATAATAATAATAATAATTTTGAGATTGTTTGAGTTAGCTATGAAATTGTGCTATTTCTAAGCAGTCTCGAAATAGGCTAGAAATAGTCTGTTTTTAGCAGGAATATATCAATTTTAAGCTGCTCGCAATCGATTTATTGCATATATATGTCTTGTTGACACAACAACTTTTGAGGATCTCCGCCTCGCTCTTGTTAGCCTTGATGTCCTTACAGAGCACAGAGGACTAGGCCTCTTTCTTGTTTCATCTCTTCTCTCAAATGCTACTTAGACATCTGCCCTCTGCACTTTTTAATCTGTTCAGCAGGTCCTTGTACATGAGCAACCTTGCTAGATGGCATGCCTATTTCTATCGGCACCGGAAACTGAATCATGGACCACGGTAAGCACTCGCAAGCCACTTTTTTAGTTTCTTTTTTTATCGTAGATTCTTGATTTAATTTCTCTATCCAAGTGGTTCTTTGTTTTCCGTAGCATAGTGGCTTTCCAAATCTCTTCATGATTTGATAATTAAATGGCGTTGATTACTAGTACTATATATAATTATTTTGGGATGATCAGGTAAATTTTAAATTTTCCTATATTTATCGTTATAATGTCATGCCTAATTTTGTATTGCAGTTGTATGTGTGTTTAAAAAAACTGTTAATGCTGATATGAACTTAAAATATTGCTGCTGAATTAATTCCCATTTGATCAAGGATGTTAGATTCATGCTTTACCTTCATTTAATGACTCTCAAACGGGATAATGGCCATTCTAGCTCCTATAATACTTTTATCTTATCAAGATTCAAGCCAACCTGCCCGTTGATCTTGTTGAAGCACACTTTAATTGGCACCAATTGTATGGCTTAGGTAGATATTTGGTCATCAAATTTAGATTACTATTGTAACTATTCTGAAAGCCATCAGTTTAGATTCAACCATCTGATTCAAACTAAAACAGAACTAATTGCAAGGCATAGAGCCTCCATCAATCTCCCCATCATGGCTAGGGACATGATGGTTCTGTATGGATTTCTAAGATGTTTTTGTTTTCTTTTGCTTTTATTCACCATCTATTGATCGACCAAATGATCAAAGTGTCCTCTATAGAGAGGTATTTTTGATGTGACCATGGCTTGTCTATCCATCATATGCTTCACTAAAACATCTAAAACACTCTTTCGTCGTGTTAAAATTTGAGAATAAAATCTAAGGACAATCTCTTTTACTATCATAGGAGATAAGTTTCTTTATATGCAAATTACAAAAGATCCCTCGCACAATATTGAAAATACGTAGGAGTTAAGCAGTTAAATGGATACACTTGTGGCTTCAATTTAGGATTGACATATTTATAGATGGTATGTACAACAATATTTTGCTGTAACGTAAGCGACTATGAGTTGATGGTGTTGCATAAAACACGCTGCAATAGTGATGGATTTCAAATATAGCACACATTTGAATATGGTAAGTAGGATAGGAGTTCGTCATCCTTGATGTTGAATCAACTTGAATGGGTAGCTCGCTAGTTACCTGGAAATTTTCTAGAATTTGGCAGTTTTTGCCTAAGCAATATTTTAACTTAGTTATAGCGTTGGCCTTTTGGCTCAACAAACTGACATAATGTGCAATAGTTTTTCTAAAGGATTGATCTAGACGCTATGAAGTACCGACACTTCTCCTTAATGAGTTGTTAAATGTCCGATACAACACGCGTCTGACATGTGTTGGACATGCCGAAAACATGTCAGATTAAAAAAAATATTAAATACAAATTGGACGCGCATGTCAGACACGGGTGTCTTAAATATTTTATAAAATTTTTAAAAATAATTTCTTGCATTTTGAATTTTTTAGTTAAGATATAAAAACTGAATTTCTTATCTTCTATCTACAATATTAAACCAATTGCCCGTACTCAATACCCATTCATCGAATATTCTTATTTTCATTTCTCTTTGACAGGTTGCGACTTTGATTTCACAACATTGCTCGATGTTATCTCAACATTGAAGTCTGATGCTGTTACGGCATCGACATTTCAAAATCATCTCAACATCAAAGTCCGACACTGTCTTAACTTTGATGCTCAATGCTAGCAATTTCTACATTGACAACCAACGCCCTCTCATCATCAATGACAGACGCCCTCTTGACATCAACGTCTGATACTTACTGCAGAACATCGATATTTTGATTTTTGACTCTCGACAACATTGTCATCTCCTCTCTCGATGTCTGGATGCACGACATCGACACTCGACTCTCAACATTCTAGTATTAAACATTTTAAGCATAAATTCTAGTTAAATGACACATTATTTCTAAATTATTTTTAAATATTATACTTATTCAATTTTTATACATTTTTAAAATATAAAAATTATAATACCGTGTTCAACTCGTGTCCGTATCTTATATTTTCAATAATTGATGTGTCCCATGTCCATGTCATTTCGTATGTGTGTCATGATGTCATCATGTTCGTGTTTGTGCATCGTAGTTTAGAGGTCAAATTGAAAAATGCCATGCTATTCGCTAGTAAAATCTGCATGAGTTCAAGTTACTTATAAAGAGGTAGAGATTCATCATGGTGAAACTAAAAATATCTAATTAGCTATCAGTTTGCATGATAGTAATATTCTTAGCAACTCTTTAAGTTGTTTTATTATTTTTTATTTTTTATTTTCTTTCTTAGCAACTCTTCAGTTGAATTCATGTGAAACATTATATAAGAAACCTAATGAATATTTAATAAAATTTATCTATTAGCAATGGGTTTAATGACATGCTGAGATGAGTAGTGTTGGATTCATATTTGCACTTGGATGAGCCTCCATCCTAGAAGTAGTTTATTAGTGGGTTAGGGTTAGAAAATCAAATAAATGAGGATAGTGGGTATGGAGAGTTGGTGAAAAGTATAACGTCTTCAAAAAAGACACATTATTAGCAAAGGATATGGGAAAAGAGAAAGATCTAAAAGACAACACCCAAAAATAACGTCCAAAAAAAAAATGAAAGACAACATCCAAAAAATATAAAAAATAATATATGATGTGATTATTAAAGACTAACACTGACAAGTGGACTAGCTGAATAATATACATTTGGATTATTGCCTCTGATGTAGCCCCCTTTTTTTAGGCGAGTGCCTTGGATGAATTCATGATGGCGAACTTCCTAGACAAGCTTCAGGATCTGAGTTGCCGCGCGAGTTAGTGTTAACGAGTTTGTGGGAATAAGGGTGTGTTCATATAAATGAACATTGAGTCTTTGGAGTGAAGGATAGCCCCCTAGATGGGGGTAGCTGGTGAAGTATTCATAGGCTTTAGAGGCATGCACTTCTTGGAGCTTGAGGATGTCCACAATAGGTGGATGGCCTTTTCCATGGGCAACTACTGTAGGTGTGTTAGTTTTGGTCTTGATGAGTCCTTTAGAGGAGCTTACAGAGAGTGACGACATCCTTGATCTGTTCTCTTGGGATGAGTATGCGCACTAAGATCTCTTGCAAAGGAGAGTGGCATTGGGATCATGGGCATGTATCAACAATATCTCTACAGAGTGTCGCTTTGACTGTGTAACCCCCCTAATTGAGCTCCTTAATGGCAACCTGTTAGGTACCTATAGAAGCATGCATGAGTACACATTGTTTTCTAATTTACTTGCTCCTTGGAAAAGCTGAGTTGTGAAAAGAATGAGTATATTTAATATGAGTAGCATTTATTATTTTTATCGAATAGTAGAGAGAGAGAGAGAGAGAGAGAGAGAGAGAGAGAGAGAGAGAGAGAGAGAGTTAGGATATGTAATTTATCTGCGTGTGCTTCACCACTATTCTGGAGAAGATGAGCTCAGTAGGTCACCAACTGCACCATAGTGGAGGCAAAATGCGTATTTTCTTGGCAGTTTTTGGGTCACCATATATAACTTTTATCATGTTCTCACTTATTTGTGTCTGCCATTTTCAGACTAGAGGGAGGCCTCATCTCCTCATGTCGAAATAAAAGGTATGGTCCTTATAAGAAGAAATATGATACCAAACCAGTTTGAATATGACTTGCTAAATTGCCTTCATTGATGCTTGTTAGAGCTGAATATTTAGCTCACTTTCTTATTTGATACATCATACATGGAATGTTGTCAGAAGCGTTTCCATAAAATATAGTTTTTTTTTTGATAATTTTAGATCACTGTTTTTTCTGCTTTATGAAAAATAGTTCTACAAAACAGTAAGAAAGGAGTTCCAAACGAAGTCATAATATCCGTAGAAATCTGTAATAAGAGCTGTTGTGAAACTCCTAAATTGTCATCTCTTTGTTTGGTATGGTTTTTTTATTGTTTTGAAGGCTTCTTTTTAGTACAAAAATTTTAATTTTTTATACTAGAAAGCTGTTATAAAAAATAGTAAAAAAATCATCCTTACTAAAATAATGTCTTATACTTAATAATATTTGTAAATATGAATTATTAATTTCTTTTTATTTTTGTTGTATCTTTTACAATTATGAAAAAAAAAAAAACTGAAATTCTATAAGTATGGTGCATGTAGTTTATGTATTATACTCATATTTATGAGAATTAATGCATTGTTTATCTTTTTTTTGGGGTAATATAAATTATTTATCTCATTGACATATGAACGGCTTATTTTGAATAAAATAAATTTAATAAATTTGTTTTAACTGAATAATAATATTTTGCAATTTGAATATTATTTCGATTGGGTTACATCAAGGATCAGCCTTCAGCCCATATATTTTTGCTTTAATCATGGATGTTCTCACTAGACATTTGTAAGATGATGTATCTTGGTGTATGCTTTTTGCTGATGATATTCTTCTTGTTGATAAGACTAGAGAGGGAGTTGAAGGTAAACTTGAATTATGGAGGTCAACCCTAGAGTCTAAAGGTTTTCGCTTAAGTAGATCTAAAACGGAATATATGGAGTGTAATTTTAACAGTAATAGACCTAGTGAGGGGATTGTGACTTTGGACGATAAAGTCATTAATAAGAGTACACGTTTTAGATATCTTGGATCTATTATTCAGAGTGATGGTGAAATAGATGGGGATATTATCAACATAATTCAAGTTGGATGGTTGAAGTGGAGGAATGCATCGGGCTTGTTATGTGATATAAATGTACCCCTCAAACTTAAGGGAAAATTCTATAAGATGGTAGTGAGGCCTGCAATGCTTTATGGTGCCGAATGTTGGCCATTAAAAGAAAAGCATAATACTAAGTTAAGTGTGCCAGAGATGAGGTTGCTTAGGTGGATGAGTGGCTTTATCCTTAGAAATAGGATACAAAATAAGCATATACGTGAAAAGGTTGGAGTAGATCCTGTAGAAGATAAGATTAGAGAGAGTCGCCTTAGATGGTTTGGTCACATAAAAAGGCGGCCTTTCGATGATCCGGTTAGGAGAGTAGAGGTATTAGATTTGACTTGTGTTAAGAAAGGTAGGGGTAGACCTAAAAAGACTTGGGTTAGAAAATATGAGGAAGGACCTTTCTTTATTAGATTTAAACGAGAATTTGACTTTTAATAGGACACAATGGAGAAAAAGGATTCATGTAACCGACCCTACGTAGTGGGATAAAGGCTTGATGTTGTTGTTGTTGTTGCAATTTGAATATTATGACAATTTTTATAATATTTGTGTATAGGATCATTTTTATGATTTGCTAAGGTCATATTAATATTATTTAACTAATTTTAAAAATATTAATAAAGCGGGAAGAGACCTGAATTTTTGGTTAAGAGGAAAATTTTGTTCTCCTAACCCATTGAGTTGTATATAGGGTCATTATATAATTTGACAATTCAAATAAGTATCTAAAATGCCAAGGTGGATGATTAGACAAATTTTAACCCAATAAAAAAATTGGTTAGGGAATTAAACATTAGCATAAAGGGAACTTTTATTAGGTCAGGACACCTGACGTAGTTTTACATCCGGACGCCAATAAAATGTCGCCACATGCACGACCCAATCCGGACTTGAAACCGGTATTGCTATGTTCGTGTATTGCTAGATTTTGCTCGGTATTATTCGGTATTGCTCGGTATTGCTTGTCAATAATGAGAAATACCGCTCTTCCAAGACCAATATCGAGCAATACTGAGCAATACCTATCAATACCGAGCAATATCTAGCAAAATCGGGGTATTACTCGGTATTGCTAGGTATTGGTCTTCACAGAGTGGTATTTCTCGTTATTGACAAGCAATACCTAGCAATACAATGGTCTGCACAAATCATCTAATACATAGCAATACCATGTTCCGATCCGAGCCGGGTCGTTGGGCCGTGTGGTAAAGAGTAAGAGCACGTGGTGATATTTTATTGGCGTCCGGATGTAGAGCTACGTCAGGTGTCCTGACCGAATAAAAGTTCGCATAAAGGAGAGTAGAAGATTCATCAAAGATGTTATAAATCATTAAATCCTAGTGCCTACATAACAAAATAACTAGAAAAGGCAACATTTTTTTCTAATCTCTTATGTGAACATCTTACTTTGGAAAGCCATCCAAGTTAGTGGATGTGAGAAAAAAAACGGAAAAAGAAAAGAGAAGAATTAACTCGGACTCCTCTCTCTTCCTCCTCAAATAAAGCACTTGACACTGATAATTTAAATGAAGGCTTTTCCCAATGAAGTCATTCAACTTAGGTAACTTTGTGAAAACAATTATAACCTGATATATTAAATGAGGGCTACAAAGCACCATACGCATATATAACTCAATCATAAAATTTTGTAAACTATAATGTTCTACCCACTAGAAACATATTGAATATTATATTAGTTTGGATTTTGTCATTGTTCACTCTTATCCTCAGTTTTGGGATGATTTTTTTATTACTTTATAAAAATTTTTTTAGCATAAAATTTCTTTGAACTATATATTTTTGCTAGAAGGTTGTTTAGAAAATATTAAGAAAATCATCCCAAACGAAACTTTAGACCATAAATTTGGGGATAAGTTCACAAAGAAAATGAGAGCAAAAATACATGATGGTCGATGGAGCATGTGAATTGCTTCGGTTTAGAAGCTAACGAAAATTTGGCTTAGCATAAGACAAGCACATTTAGATGTAATTCAAACTCACTATTCATGCATCCTTTATCAAGGATCCCATTTAAAACTTTGAAGAACTAAAAGTTAATGGAGATCTACAAGTACGACACTTACAAGACTCTTAGATTACTAGTTGGAAGCTAAGATGCTTAAAAAAAAAAAATAGTGTATATGAAATATTTTGGAGTTGTTGGATGAGTATAAAGAAAATCCAGGCGAATATTTTTTTTTTGTGCATGAAAGTAAAATGAATATAATGTAAAGATCAAATATAGTGGTGGTTGATGGCCAACAATGGTGGCGGTGATCAATAGTGGTTGGTGGGGGTGATCAGCAATGGTTGGCAATGAGAGGGAGTTGGTGACAGAGTGGTAGTGGGCTTGTTGGCAAAGGAGGTAGTGGCTAACATATGTTGATTGCGGGCGAGCAACAGTTGGCAATGGCCAAGGGCAGGTAGTGTGGTCGACAACAATAAAAAACTTGCTTACAGTGAAAAAGGAATTAATTTAAAATGGGTTGAGCTTACTTGTCATAAAAAAATGAACTAGAATAATTTAAAATGTATTACTTCTTCATCCAACCAAATAACAATATTTTCAACCCTTATAAATAAGGAATACTTGATACTTGGGGTGTAAGTGAGTCAAGTCAACTAATGAGCTAGATTGAGCTCGCTTGATAATTGCTCATGAATTAAGTTTGATTTACTAAAAAGCCAAGCTTGAGCAAACCTAATTCGGCTCATTAGCTCGCAAGTCAACTCATTAAAAAAAGGATTCATATAAAATGCATTTAAAATATATTAACATTCAATTTTGCAAATACAAAATTGTTTAAAATATTAAAAAATAGTTTATAACTGTTATTCTTTATTATATTTCTTTTAATTTATCATTATGTTATAATAATTACTTGAATTATAATCATTTTTTGCTCGAGAGCTAGTCAAACTCGTAGAATAAAGCTAGAGTTTGAACTCAGTTAATTAACCAAGCTCAAGCCATGGGTGACTCGTGCTCGACTCGACTCACTTACACGCCTACTTTACATCCACTTTAACTTCCAACCAAACAACCCCTTAGTGAAACATTAGAGATAAAGGATAAATTGATTATTCCAAGCTTTATTGCTCTTATTAATTATCTACAATAAAGAAGAAAAAAATGTGGGGGTGAAGATTCAACTCCCTTTCTTACACATAGAAGTAGTTTCATATCATGTCAGCATTCAAAACTAGAGAATTATAGGGCCCTGCAAAGCTCAAACCCAAAATGCATATAGAATGCAGGATATCTATTTGTCAAGATCACCAACTCCTTCCACCAAACTCTAAGGCTTCGTTTGGGATAATTTTTTGTTGCTTTCTAAAACAGCTTTCTAGCACAAAAATTTCTTGAATTAAAAAATTTTAAACTAAAAAATCGTTTTAGGAAGCAGTACAAAAGCTGTCTCAAACAAAACCTAAATCGCTACAGCTAGCATTTTCTTGCATAAAAGAAACTCCATAATAATCTCATTGCTATAATTGCAAATCTTATACCATATACATGCATGAAATTCTTTGATTTATGTTGACTTGTCCGCTTGCTAAGATTAGGCTATTCCACTTGCTCAAAAAGCACCTTTGTAATGTGGTTGTTGAGTTTGGTGGAAGGACACCAAGCCAAGTAGTAAATGCTCTTCACAACTGCGAGAAAAGTTTGCTTGGTTTCAAGGTTGAGGCCATTGGGACCCCGAGGCTCAAGTACACATTTTACCAGTTCATGCATCTCTGAATCCATATCACTATCACTCTCGATTCTGACCCTGCTTGCCTGCACCCACCAGCAATAAAACTCTTATGAGGTTCTCTTAAAAGAATAGGAGAAATTATTCTATGCGGAGGCCAGATACAGCTCTACGTCCGGAGGCAAATCAAGTGCCGAACAATACCAAGCTACGGTACACAACGAGGGATAACGTGACGCATTCTGATTGGTCTCCGTTTGACGTTCGGCTTCCGAACAGAATACTTAATAAAAAAGAAAGGGGATAAAATAACACCATCAACAGATAAGATAAAAAGCCATGATTAGAATGATGTGATTCAGCATCCTCATCACATTTCTTACGGTAGACTTTTGTTCGAGAATGATAGACTTTCAAATGTTTGCTTAGTTGAAAGCTTACGACTTTACTATTATTATTATTTTAATTTAGAAGAATAAATCATAACATTAGCCTTCTTAATGTTTCGCAAAGTTGTTATTTTTTTAAAGTTGTCAAAGAAAATAAAATTTTAGTACAAAATTTATTTGAAAGCAACAAAAAAAAAGTGCCTAAAGGGTAATAACAATAGCAATTGTTATGACCCGAAATGTAAAGCATTAAAAAAAGCTGTTCCAAACGAAGGATCTTATAAGGTGCTTGGAACTATTGTTAAATATTTCTTCACTATAACCATTAGTCCACGGATGCTTTTACATGGTGTCTTGAGCGATTATGTCACAAATTTTTTTAGTGGTTTGTGAGCACTGAAAGGCACGCCATTGTGGTGAGAAACCGAGCTCACTACCACAGGGAGCACGCAAAGGATTTTAGTGGGTGCTTTGAACTCTTATTGGTTTTAGATTCTAATTTATTGGAAAATGTATAGAAGGCAAGTTCAGGCTGACAAGAAACTTTTGATGTGGAGACCACTCTCTGATCACAATCTTTCCTAGTTTCCTAAATAGATGAAAGTCTGATCTTTTTCGCCCCATGCTATTCAAAAGCTGCGAAATTGATGGAGCAAATGAGGTCTATGTGATTGGATGAACACTGAAATCTTTTTTTTTTTTTAATATATGTAGTCTTAAACCTGGGTCCCTCAGAAAGCTATGCTGTCGCCCTATCTATGCTTACAAGAATATGGGCAGCAACTACCAAATGGCTTTTAATCATCTTCCAAAATTTGTTCCACTACCATCTTTTGTGGTTATCCCAATAACCCAACTAACGGCCCAATAACATATGGTACAACTTCATGCCGTTTAGAATGCTTAATACTACAGCAGCAATAACATCAAGCATTTGTCCTACTACGTGAGGTCGGCTACATGAATCCTTTTTCTCCATTTTGTTTTGTTAAAAGTCAAATTCTCGTTTAAATCTAATAAAGAAAGATCATTTCTAATATTTTATAACCAAGCCTTTTTAGGTCTACATGTACCTTTCTTAATATAAGTCAAATCTAATACATCTACCTTCCAAACCAGGTAATTGGAAGACCGCCGTTTTATGTGACCAACCCATCTAAAGCGACTCGCTAATCTTATCTTCCACTGACTCTACTTCAACCTTTTCACGTATATGCTCATTTCGTATCCTGTCTCTAAAGGTAAAGCTACTAATCTACCTGTGCATCCTCATCTTTGCAAAACTTAACTTAGTATTATGCTTCTCTTAAAATGGCCAACATTCAACAACATATCGTTTATAATGCTTAATGATTAAGAAAAATAATTAATATAAGATTTTTTTACAAGAAAATCATACTCAAATAATCATTTTTTAACGATTAAATTCACTAAATAAAAGATATCTTACACTTATAATATTTTTTTATTTATGTAGGAAAGACAGTTGTTATGATATGGAAATCTTATAAGAAAAATTGTTGGACTCTTAACATAGCATAATAGAAAAAAAAAAAGATTTATTTAGTCAATCTCACGTACTGGAATAAGGATTTGATGATGAAGATGTTGTTATGAAAAGTTGTTGATGTATTTTCACTTCCTGATAATTAATATCGTGATGACAAAATGAACTCCATGAAGCTTAAATGTGTAAATAACTGTTATGGTACTAATTAATTGGAAAAGCATTAATAGATTAGGCGAAATTGATGGATCAGTGCGCACAAACACCAAAAGTGTTAATTGTAGAACATTTATTTTAAATCAATTCTTTACCTAACGTGTCTAGTGTTGGCTATGTAGTGTCCACCATCAATCTTGCCTTTTTTTTTACAGTCGTTCTAATTTAGCGGTAGGCTTGAATGGGATGTTCCTCTTCATGTGCTTTGAATTTAAGTCCTCGTTCCTATCATCTAATGAATATCATTTCAGCACGGAAGCAATGTTTTTATAATTCTTTAGATCTTCATCTAAGGCTTCATTTGTGTAACGATTCTTTTTTAATGTTTCTTAAATCAGTTGTTTATTATAAAATTTTTAACTTTTGTACTAAATAACTGTTTTAAAAAGCAGTAAGAAAATCGTCCTAAATAAAACTTAAATATTCTATCAATTATGATAACTCAGAGTGTGAGACAGATCATGTTAACAAAGTACCTAATTTTTATTTTGTTATGGAATAGCCTTTTTGTTGGTTTGTGTGTTTTTTTTTTTACCTTTTTGTTCTTCAATTGTGAGGAAAGAATAATTCTTGTATTTCTTATTGGAATTTTTAACTTAGCCGTATCCCATAATCTTTTTCCTTTTCAAAATTTCCCGTTTAAAAATTTTCTTATCTTCTACCACTTTTTTTATATGTGTTTATCTTTTGTCCAAAATTAAGACATAAAAAACTAACTCTATTAATATAAATTTTCTAACACATAACACATTTAATACTTTAATTGAAATTAGTTTTCATTAAAAAATATTTTTTCCTTATATTTAAGGAGGAAAAGGCAAAAGCAAAGTATGACATTTTTCTCGTGAATTTCACTCATATTAATCAAATCAAGATATATAAAAAGAACTCGAAAGCATTACGGACGAAGAAATTGAAAGGCAAAAAGGCAAAAGCTCAAAGCGAAATATCTAAAAGAAAAAAAATCAGTTGTACCTCGCCAACACGCGCGCAAGATTGTAGCCGCCCGCAAATTGAGATGGTGAGCCGGACGAGTCGGGCGTACTCTAAGCGGGCCGGTTCGTCCTCCGGTTCGGTCCGACCCGCACAAAGCTCAATCGACCGAACTAACAGCAATGCCGTCCCCCCTTGCAGTAAGCAACACCGCTGTTGGCTCTCCCCCACCTCCAATTTCACCAGCCACTCCCCCCACTGTCAAAACACAAAAGAGTTCACGAACGAATAGTAACAAATGGGCCGGGCCCAAGCATTCAAGTAGGTGTCGGAGATCTTACAGCCCGTCGGAGATGGCGGCGGAAAATATGGATCGGCAGCTTCAGCGGTCTAGGCCTGTCAAACAGCCTTAGAATGTGGCCCACCAGCACTTCCCCGATCAGCTTCGAATGAATCGCATCGGTGGTGGTGGAATTGGCGACGGCCTCCGCCAGCACGGCGGTTCCGGCCCAACCAAGCCGCTCGGCGGAACGGTCCGGCTCAAATATAGATGTTGACGCCAAGAAGTAGGCCCTCAACACGAAGTTCTGCCACGTTCCATGCTCTGTCAGCCCGCACTCCTCATACCACCTGTAAAATTGATGATCTTCTCAATCATATAAAAGATTTCTGTCTGCATATCAGAGAAGTTTATAAAAAAAAACAACTTATGAGAATGAGGGCGGCTTGTATAAATATTATAAAATTATTATGATTAAAATAAAATTTAACAAAAATTATTATAAATATATAGATACCTTTAATAAGATAATAGATCACAGTCTTACAAATCAAATTATAAAAAGCCATATTTTATGAAAAATATTTTTAAAATTGAACAAAAACTATTGCAGAAAAAGGTTTGTAATTTAGTAAAACTATTACTCCAAGTAAATTATAACAGAGGAAAATAAAATTTAAGTCTGCAATTCCATTTAGTTCCTTCCTCTTAATAAATAATTATTTTGTCTACTAACTATTTTCTCCTTGTGTGGTTAGAGAGTTTATATATATATATAGGAGAGATTATTTTGTGTGGAAACCAGACGATGAGAACCGTCTGAATCTGCTGTCTTTTTATTGGCCTTTTACAAATAATCAGCAAAATGACAACAAATATGCCATTATGAATGCACTTTTGTTGTGTATTTACGGTGATTTTACAAAAGGCAGCAAAAGCGTAGCAAATCTTCAATTAGTAGGATATTTGCTGCGCTTTTGCTGCCATTTTGTAAAAAAGCAACAAATACTCAGCAAAAGTGCGTTCATAATTACATATTTGCTATTCTTTTGTTGAGTATTTGCAAAAGAGCAGCAAAAGGGCAGCAAATCTTGACGGTTCTCGCCGTCCGGTCTCCGCACATAATAATTTCTCCATATATAGTACTAATCTCAGGATAAACTCAAAAATATTAAACTACATTCTAATACAAAATCTGTCAGAATACTCTTATGCAATTTTTTCTCTTTTATTATGCTATTATGTCACTTTAATCATACAAAAAGAAACAACTAATAGTAATTACTTGCTAAAAAAAGGCAATCAAAACTAGAAAAACTTGATAACAAAATAACCTTTGCAAACGGAGCCACTCGAGCTGGTGGATGGCCTGACATTGGTTGAAATCAGCCTTTGCAAGATCCAAATACAAGACATTGTTCACGTACAACATCCTGCCATTTGATCCATTACATGAATGTCATTCAATAATCAAATACTGTAAAATAACTATTATAAAATAATAAAAAAAGCTCAATATATGAAGAATACCAAGTGAAAAAAAAGACTCATATACAAGACCTGTAGAGCGTCTTTCCAATCCAAACATCACCATCGCCACCATACTGCTCAATGTACAACCTTGTCTCAATGCGAGGTAAACTTGCGTAGAAAGGAAAATCCAAAGCATAGGCTACCTAATCGTCACCATTTATTTAAAACTCAGAAAATTGAAATAAAATTCATGCCAGATCGTGTGGGCTTAGTTATTGAACTAAAAAGATATAAAGGATAGCCACACTTACCTGGATGTAGTAGGAATGAGCCCATTAAGGTTTCGTTTGAGACGGTTTTCTTTTTGCTTCTTAAATCAGTTTTTTAGTGTAAAAATTTTATGAAGCAGAAAGAAAGCCATTCCAAACAAAGCCTAAGTGTATTAAATTTATTTTGAAATGAGTATAATATAATATATGTGTACCTCGCCTGGCAAATCTTTGGCAATGACCCACTTGTCGAGGAGCTGATTGGAAGCGCGCTTCTCCTTTAGGAATTGGTATGAGAAGTTTTTTGCTTGTTTGAGTATCTCCTCGTTGGGAAAGATTAGCTGAGATGCCCTGTTCAAGTTGTACATTCCAGTCACCGCCTGAGTTGATTGGCCGATGAAGCCAAAAAACTTGTCATCACTTTTGAAATTCTGGAACACATCTATGTTGAAAAGTAAACTTGTTGAAAATTCAAACATTGAAGGAGAAATGTGAGAAGCAGAGTGTGCTAGGTTTGGCAGAGGAAGAAAGAAAGTTTGAGATTATTTTGGTAGGTGAATATTGTGTGTAATGGATAAATTATATATATATATATATATATACACACCTTTCTTCTTAAGATGTAGATTATTAAGGCCTAGTTTGTTTCCACGTTTTTTTTCCTTTTATGTTTAGAAATGGAGTATTATTTTTTGGTTTATGTTTGGATGCGACGCTTTTATAAAAATGCTTTTTAGAGAACTTTATATTTTTACTATTTTGAGAAGCTTTATGATATTTTCTTCTCCGTTAGAAAATTTCATCCCCTTAATCATTGTTTTTAAAACTATCCTTTACAAAAGGAGAGGAAGAATAAAACGAAGCCTAAGTGAGAAGTACAAATTCTAGGAGAGTTCGTTGTGTGAGTTTGAGAGTTTTGTCTAGTTAAGAATTGTGGTGTGGAGTTTATATAACAACTTAATTTAGTGTGATAAATTCCAAATAAAGTGACATCAGAGTTGTTGTGAATGGAGGAATGGTTATTTTCCAAATTTCAATTATCTACCAAGAACACAAGTTATATGTGATGTCGTTTAGAAAGGCTATAGAGAACAAACAGATGCTACACTATCCTAGGCCCAGGGATATACCTTAAAGATCTAAGAGGGATAACAAATCTTTCTATCCCGCTTTTAAGCACAGATAGAAGATGGATTCGAAAAAGTTTCAAGTGTGAGAGAAGCTTTAAACTTGGAACTGTAACAATTTGATAATTATGAAAATAAATTTTAAATGAAAAATATGAAAACTCTTACTAATTCTTTATTATTGTTCTAATGATTTCTTATTCTTTTTATCATTTATTATAATAATTATTTAAATCATGCTCATTTTCTCTCTTTCATAATAAATGAGCCGGCCCAAACTCGTAGAACAAAGCTCGAACTCGATTAATTAATCAAGCTCAAGCTTAAGCCAAGGGTGACTCATTGACTCGACTCGTTTACACCCCTACGACATCACCTGATCATGGTTTTTCCAACGAGTGTCGCTCAACTATGTCTCTCTGACCACTTTCAACCGACTATGGATCTTGGACCACCGTCGCCCGTCAACTACGGTCCTCCAATTCCCTTGCCCAAATATTTTCCTTCGACCCCCCATCGCTCGACTATGGTCCTCCGGCCACCATCGTCTAACTATGATCCTTTTGACCTCTATTGTTTGCCAACTACAATCCTCTGACCATCATTGCCCAACTGCAGTTCCCCGACAACCATCACCTAAGTACAATTCTCCCTACCATTGTCATCTAAATACATCATCTGACAACTATCACCCAATTATAGAGTATGGTCATTTAGCCACAATCACCTGACTACAATTCTATTGACATCCGTTGCGTAGAAGACAATTTAAAGCAAACATAATGATTTTTGTATGAATTTTAAGACATACAATAGGGTTTGAATGCAATCTTGAAAAATTCCTACAAGTGGTTGTTGTGCAGATTAGCTTTTTGCATTTAGTATTTTGTACTTTTTTATGATTTTTCATCATATCCTTTTGACCTCTTGTATGAAAAAATTGTGAATCCGCTGGCTAAGACGGTAACTTTAAGAAAATATAGGGATTCTTATACCAATTTCAAGACATACAATACGATTTAAACAGTGTCTTGCGGAATTCCTACAGTTGGCAATTGTGCAAATTTTGCTTTTGCATTTTAGATATTTTGCACTTTTTATGATTTTTCGCCATAGGCCCATAGCCTTCAGTTCACTTGCATGAAAATATTACGTATCTGGTGGCTAATTAGGTGGTTTTGGGAACAGGTTTGGGAATGGATAGAGGGGTATAAGCAAGCATACGATATGTTTTAAATATATATATATATACTCCTGATATCTTTCCTCCCTATAAATATGATGGGATGAGGTAGTGTTCATTTGAACATTCCAAAGTCTTCACTTGAGTTCTTCTGAGTTATTTGCTTGGTCTTTCAAGATTTTGGAGTTCTAAGTGAATTTGCCAATTCACCTCCCTGTACAATAAGTTTTATTCCCCGCATATATTTTTTTTCTTGCTTGCCTTTTTATTCGTTTAAACATTTGACTTAATAATTTTAATTTACTTAAATAAATTGCAAGTCCAAGTTTCATATTTTAGTTATGTTCCTTGTAGTGCAAAATTTTCAAAATCCCAAAATTAGTAGAAATTCTGGCAGCCTCCCAGCGTCTCCCTTGTTTGTGAAAAATTTTGGGGGGCTAGGCGTAACTATTGGGCTAAGAAAAGAGTGTATGATTGATAGGGGTGTCAATATTTGACACGACCCGAAAATTTCAAGTTAGGATCAACCCGTTTGAGAAATGGGTCGGGTTCAGTTTGACCCAAAAATCCAAAACCAACTCGGGTTGACCAGGGAACCACGCATGCCGCCTCATCTCGTCAATGTCCATGTGTCCAAACCACGTGAGTGCGCAGCGTCTGACATCTTGTCGTGTGAGAGCAAAATGTCGTCCCATGCTTTTGCCGCCGTCCGTCATCGTTGGTTGGAGCGTCATCACCCGTCGGTCATCCCGTCTCGTGCAGTTGTCCACTCGTCCATTGGCGTCGTCCCGTTCGTGCCATCAAGTCGTCGACGTCGTTCGCGCTGGCCAGGTCGTGCCGTCGAGGCTTTGCCACATTAGAGGCTTCACCAGTTCGCCACTTCGCAGTCTTTGCCCGGCTACCATAGTGCGCGAATGCGCATGAAATACTTGATCTAACCAGTGCTGGTCGGATCAAACCCGGGTTGACTATTCTGATCCGTTTGCAAAACTGGGTTGGGTTAGGGTCAACCTTTTTAGACACAGGTCAACTCGGGTTGGACCCAAACCCGACCCGTCGACCCATTTTGACACCCTTAATGATCAATGTCAGGTGTTTCCGTAGCTGAAACTCTATAATCCCACCATGTCAAGAAAGACGTGTATGAGGTGCATGCACAATAAATTTAGATTAGCCCAAAAAACACTGATTTGCATTGCATAAGCCGTCGACGAGGGTCTACCTACCACACTAAAAAATGTATGTATAGAATTTTCGCTGTAGCGACAAGTACATTGCTCGCGGGTTCACCCACTGAACACACTACACTGACAGGTCTCCACCCACCATGCTAAGAAAAGCATGCATATGTTCTTTGTCGCCGTGCCGAGCACGTAGCTAATGCGATCCACCTTTCACATGGCAAACACCGCCAACAAGTTTCTACCCACCATGCAAAAAAAAAAAAGAGTGTATGAGTTTTCCCTAGCTGTGCTGAAGCATTGTCACAAGTTTCTAAGATTTTAGGAATTAGCATTGTTATGTCTACACGTAACGAGGCGACGTGACTAAAATGATAATGAACTTGCAAGCAATCACATAAGAAAATAATTGTCAAATTATTATTTATTCATATTTTCTTTTGCTGAATTTTTATTAGAGAGAGACTGGGGAGGAATTTGCTGGCTGTTTTATTGGAGAGGTGAAATGTTGAAGTGGAGATGGATTAGGTTAGAGAGATGGAAGAACGTTTAAAGAGATGATTGAGGAGGAATTGAAGAGATTTTTGTAGAGGATGGTTGTAGTAAATTTTATAAATGGAGAATGGGGAAGAGGTGGAGGATTGTGATATATCAATTGTAATTATCTTCCAAACTCTTAGACAATTAAGTCGCCTAATATGATCCAAACGAAATACCATTGCTAATATAAACATCAAAGTTTGCCACCAAACATTTTCGCATCTGATTACAGTAAAACACTTATCACTTGATTCATAGAACATCATTAATTCAAATGCACATTGCTTATTAAAGTGACATTCACTGGTTGGGGCTTAAATGATGATGATCTGTAGTTGCTATTAACAAGGTTTTAAAAATCGGATCGGACCGGCCGGTTCGACTAGTTCAACCATGAATTGTTGACAAGGCTGGTCCAATCTACTCTGAAAATCATTTCTGCATCAAACCAGACTGAACCGGTCAAACCGCTAGTTAAACCGGCGAACCGGCTCCTATAAATTCATTTTTTAAGAATTTTTTAAATTAATTATTAAAATTACAAGTTTTAGATATCTTGGGTCTATTGTTCAGAGTAATTGTGAAATAGATGGGTATATTATTAGTAGAATTCAAGTTGGATGGTAGAAGAGGAGGAATGCATCGGGCTTGCTGTGTGATAGAAAAGCCCCCCTTAAACTTAAGAGAAAATTCTATATGATGGTGGTTAGATCTGTAATGCTTTATGGTGCAAAATGTTGGCCATTAAAAAAGAAGCATAATATTAAGTTAAGTGTTGCAGAGATGAGGATATTCAGGTGGATGAGTAATTTTACTCTTAGAGACAGGGTACAAAATGAGTATATACGTGAAAAGATTGGAGTAGCTCAAGTGAAAGATAAGATTAGAGAGAGTCGCCTTAGATGGTTTGATCATATAAAATGGCGGCCTTCTGTTGACCTAGTTAGGAAAGTAGATGTTTTTTATTTGACTTATATTAAGAAGGTTAGAGGTAGACCTAAAAATAGTTGGTTAAAAAATATTAGAAATTACATTTCTTTATTAGATTTAAATGAGAATTTAATTTTTGACATGACATAATGGAGAAATAATTCTATGTAGCCGACCTCACATAGTGCGATAACATTTTGATGTTTTTGTTTTTATTTATAATATGAATAATATATATTTTTAGTTAATAATAATTTATTTAAATAATATTTAAATATTTTTAATATTTATTACGCCATTTAGTCCCCAATTCAACCCGATCGAATCATTAAATTTTGAATCTCACCATTTTTCGATTCAATGTGGGTCCAATTTTCACAACCTTCACTATTAGGCTCAAAATCACATAAACTTGTCTCTTCTGAGAATGCATTTATAACTTGAACAGTGGAAGCAAAATTTGATAGCAAAATATATATAATGTAACCGGCAAAAGAAATAAACTTGTGTTAAATATTTACAACTCATAATGCATGCATAATCTATTTTGGAAGAGTGGGAAAGTAGTGGGCTGTAGAATGCAAGTGGCCGGGCTGCTTGATGGGTGTGCGGCGCATAAAGAAAAAGGAGAGAGGGAGATCGGGCAGTGCTTTTAGGGGTCCGGTCTAGGTGGAGATGAGGGAGTTCGAGGGAATTTTGAGTTCACGGCTGTTTCTGTGAGTTGAGGACGATGGTACGGAGCTGATATCGGGTTCATTTGATTAAGAGCCGTCGGGAGTTCGGTTAAAGTAGGAGTTTAGAGTGAAGATAAAGGCAATAATAGGTGGTTAGGCTAGATTAGAAGTGACGGCAGCTAGGAGGAGCGACGGGAGCAGGTTGTTGGGTCGTGGTAGGCGTCGGGGCAATGGATGAGAAATCCGACATCGGGCAGGGAGGTCGTGCACAGTGAAGAGGAGAGGATTACCTGCGTGCGACTGCTGGAGCGAGGCCGGCGACGGGAGCTGCGGGCCTGCGGGTCGGAGCAAGTAGTCGGAGTCTGGCGCAAGGGAAGGTGGATCGTGGACGGCGGCAGCTGGGTAGGCCGGTCGGGCTGGGTCGGATTGGGCGATTGGGTCGAGAAGGCGGCGTCGGGTAGGCCGATCGGATGGCTGGAGACGGCTGCTCGGACGGGAGCGAGAGGGGGAGTTCAGTCCTCAGCGTGCGAAAAATGGACAGTCGAACGGATGAAGGGGCGGCTGGGTTAGAACGAGGGAAATGAGAGAAAAGACAAAAATGAGGTATAGAGTTTAGGGTTTGGTTTTGTCATTTCCATAATAGCCCTTCCATTTTTCTTCAAAAACTAAAGGACAAATATGTCCTTTGGCATGTAATGAAGAAGACAGCTGTTGAGTTGGAATTTTCCAGGTAATTTAATTTTGATTGATTTTTCTTTTAACATTATTTATTTATTTATTTCTTTTATTTTATTTTTCTTTTAACATTATCTTGCCTAATTTTAATATTTAGGCTATCACAATTTAAATTCTAAACTAAAAATAAGATCTTTATTAATAATAATAGTAAATTAAAATTAGAATTTATCCAAACTTCGCATAGGCTTGCTTGTTCAAATTTCTTCACTTGTAGTGTTGAATTCGCCTAGATTTGCATGCACATGAGTGTAATTTCTATCAATTTTCTCGTGTCACTGCTCAGACAATATAGATCTCATTTTTAAGGTTTTGGGACATTTCGATTGGGTTCATGTTATTCGTTCGTCTATCAAAGGTCATTCGTGGCATCATGCTTTTTACTTGACGTTTTACGATCATTTTCACTCGTTCGACTATTTTCGATGTTCTAACACAATTGTATGATCCATTTTGTAATTGAAGGTCGTTTATAGTAATATCGTGCATGATCGGTGTATATCTTATAAACTTGTACACTATCTCATCAATCGGTTGTCAACCTCGTCGGGCATCTATATCTTGCTTCTTAGATATACTTTAGAGATCAAAGTTCCGTTCAGACTGCGCATAATAATTTTTCTATTTATAATAGATAATAAATAATAATAAAATTACTAGGCTATCTCCCCTGTTTTTTTCTGTTCCCTGAATTTTTCATATAAAATTATTTTAACCAACCGCATTGATTCTCAACAACGATCATTGTCACAGATGAAGTTCAAGCCGCTCTCTGCCATTGGCTTCTCTGATACCAACATGACCCAGCCAAACAAGAAAACGAGAAAGAAGAAGGGGAAAAACAGAATACGTTGAAGCGTATATCCACTACGACAGGGTAAACGGGTCACTAAAGAGAGCAAACTGTTAAAATTACTAATTTTTGCAGGCCAGCATCTATTGCCGTATAATACTACAGAGAAACTGCAAACTAATTAATATACGATAATGACGCTTGTCTCATTACTCACCAGGAGAAACGCTGTATCCATGGAGTCGCAAGAGCCGAAACGCCATGGCCGTGTCATCAATATCACGCACTTCTGAGCTCCTCGCCCAACATATCCCATGTTCGCTCCAATGTCTGTCACCAATCGCTTAAAAGTTCAATCGAATGAGAGAGGAGCAGAAGCAACAGAAATTAAATTGAGGAATACTGTACTTGAAGATGTAATCCATGCACTGTTTGATCTCCGCCTCAAAATACCGCGAAATGCCGAGTCTTTGAAGTCTGTCGACTACCCATAAATGCTCGAACAGATCCACCGGGTAAACATTCGGCACTGCAAGTGCATCCAAACATCAGAAAACCATCAAAAATGTATTTCAAAGGTATTTTCTTCATGTAAAGCTGATCATTTTGAATAAAACTCGTTTTTTTACCTCCTCCATGAAATCTATCTACAACTTTCTTGAGATATCTAAGACAGTTTTCGTCTCCGGTCTGCATGAGAGCATAAGCTGTTGAAGACGGAGAAAACAGGAAGGAGCCATCCGAGCTCTGCAGCTTCAACAGGCTCTGCCATTCCAAGCCAGGCATGCCTTCCAAGCTATGGAGCAGCGTTGTTGGTACTTTATGCATCAATTCCCTTGGAATCCTGCACCCCATTCAGAAAGGAAAAAAAATCCAAACTTTAATTGCAGATAAGATTTGCTTTCTAGCAAAAGGCACCATGTTATGATCACCGATTATCTTTTTCGGAATATGTTCACTCACCTCTTCAGCTTTATCTCCCTCTTTGCGCATATATACTGCAACGAAGGGTCGTCGTAAGGACAATCCAAGCCCAAGCCTTTGGCTAAATCCATTAAAGAAGGCAATGCCACCTCGAACCCAATCGGCATCAGCTCCTCATCTTCCTCAGCCAGCCTCCGCATGTTCTCTTTCAAGAACAATAAACCTGCAAATTGTTCATTAAATAATAGAAATAATCCATAGGTCTGTTCGGCTCGTCGTCATTTTCTTGGACAATATTATGTTACTTTAAATGTTGGAATTGCCGTCTTCTTTATATAATAACCAGGAAAATAATACTTTATCGTAGCCGTGGTTTTCTTTCTTTAGAAATTGTAAAATAATTAAGCACGCTTCCTTCCGAACCTTTCTGGCATTGATCACGATAAAGGTTCCAGAAGCGGAGAGCGACAACACAGGCGAGCGTGCTGATTATTCGGTCATGGGCAGAGAAGAGGCCCTGGTCGCCCCAAGATCCGTCGTCGAGCTGGTTGTCGATTATCCATTGCAGGCTAGAGGGGAATCGAGGGCCGGAGCCGCCGGTTCCCGGCACCATGGCAACCCATGCCGTGTCATATGCGGATGAAGTGATTTCTCCATCGCCCATTGAGCTCAGCATTGCTTTCACCTCTTTGATCATTTCCCATATTGCTCGTCTTCCTCCAGCGGGCTAATATTTTTCCAAATTAAAACAAACAAAATAGTCAAATTCTTGTTCGGATTTAATGATTGTTAGTACCTTGGTGGCTGCCTCCTCCTGTAGCTCTGGAATTTTCTTGAGCAATTCGACTTCTTTTAACTTTTTGTCACTAAATTTTGGGCGGTATTCTGTAATTATTTGGACAAAAAGTACAATTTATTGTGATTGGAATTGGCAAAAAGTACTAATTTTGAAGAAATAAATAAACTAAAAATCCAATTTTGATTAACGAGAAAAAGCAGGACACCGTGAAAGCTTGATTTCAAAATCGCATTTACTCTCCAAACAGGGATGGCTAATTCAGCTTTTCGTCTCCACCCTCCCGTACCACCGTTTCCTACAGAATTTGCCCAAAAATAAATTAAAATCAGATTATTTTCTGCCTTAAGAGGTCTAAAAGATTGCAGAAAACGGCCGGGAAGAAGAAAGGCGGATAAGAACTTGCTGGAAAAACCGGGCTCCGGCGGCAAGCAATTTCGAGGGATCGCCGGAAAAGGCGATGCTTTCCCTACCGCTGATGAAGCCATGGCGCTTTAGCTGAAAGAACCAACGAATGTATTGAAACAAGAAGTTCAAGCTCCCCTTTTTATACCGAGAACAGGGGAGGCAGTTTTGTGCGACAAAAACATAAATAAATTAAATAAAAGAAAAAGAAAGAAAGGGTGAGAGTGTAAAAAAAAAAAAAAACTTAAACTACTAATTGTATTTATCTCTCGTACTAATTAGAGCATTTTCTTTTTAACGATTAGCAATAGAGCTTTCTTACACCGCTAAATTCGAACGGATCTTTACCATCTTAATAATAATTGGACTTTATATTACATTTATTTTATTTTAAATTAAAAAATAATAATCATCTTCATTTATTTTATACCATGCTAAACAATTACAAATATTTTAAAATTATTACATTTTATTTATTTATTTATGTATATGACTTGGGATCATGAGTGGAATTATAGTGGGACCATTTAAAAAAAAAATATATAGTGGGAGCATTTTTTAACAACTAGCTAAGCGCACGGGCCCACCAAGTAAGAAATTTATAAAATAATAACTTAAATTGTTTTTTTTTTTCCTTGCATTCTATACAAAATACCTGTCAATAGCGGCCAAATTTTTTTAGTCCTATGAAATTTATACCCAATGTTAAATTAAATTTTAAAAAGTCAACTTAATTATTGGGAAGATCACCATAGTCTAAGAACGGGAGAAGAAATTAGAAAAATTAAATAGGATAGAAAGCCAGCTTAGGACTGCTCAATTTTGTTTATTAAAATTGAAAATAAAACAACATATAAATTAACGCTTGGTCTTTGTTCCGAAAAACTTTCATATTATTTTCAATATAAAAATTTTTAATTTATGAAATTTTGGTTATAAAAAGCTACTTTAGAAAGCACTAATAAAATGTATCAAAACATTTTTTCAGTACAAAATTTTAAATTTTAAATTTTTTTGTAATAAAAATCAGCTTTAGAAAGCAGAAAGAAAATTATTCCAAACAAAAATAGAGCGGTCGTATTTAACTTATTATTAGCTTAAGAGCTTATAGGAACAAAAGCTACTTTGTCCTCCTAAATGAATCATAGTAAGTAATAAAGCATATGCTTTAATAGGTGAACTATATATCAAGCAAAATATATAGATTTATAGGTGACATGAAAGGAGAATATGAAGAGAATATGCTCTTAATTATAAATTTTTATTATATAATTTATCTATTTATAATAATAATTCTAATTAAAAAAAAATTATACAAAAAATGTGAGATTGTAAGTCTCAAGTTTTAGGTTTCATTTGGAACTATTTTTTTTCTATTTCTTAAAAGCTGTTTTAAGAAGCAGTAAGAAAGTCGTTCCAAATAAAATCTTAGAAATAAATTGATAATATGTGCTCCTAAAAATAAATCCTAACATAATTATTGAGGACTACTTATTTGCACGTATTTAAAAGCTATGAGTATATAATGGATCTTTTATTACAATTTATATATGTTCTGATGGATTATTTGTTTGCAAGTATTTAAAATATAAGATTATATAAATGTCTTGTATTATGAACTCATCAAATTAAGAAAAAAATAATTTACATTAAAAAAATAGTTGATTTTTTCTAAAATCTAATCCCCTAAAAGTCACTAAATAATAAAATACTTGAAATTGTAAAAATCCTCCATTTAGAATGTATTAAACCCATAATACACTTAGCAAAATACCCCAAAGTATTTATTATTTACCCTTTTCGAATTTTAATTTATTATCTTATAATATGCAGAAATTTAACAAAATATTATTACTTTTTTATGTTAATTTGTTCATCCAAAAGGAAAATTTGCCATTTAACATTTAAAATTACTTTTTCCTATTTAAAAATTTTAAAAGATATTACTTTATAGATGGTTTTAAAATCATTTGAATTTTTAAAGTCTTTTTAATTTTTAAAGAAATATTTTAATATTTTTCATATTTAATTATTACTTTAATAAAAACTTCAAATGAAATCAGTCACTTTCATCATGTTTGCAATTTTAAGACTTTTGATTATATTTTTAATTCTCTATTTCTTTTGAAATGGTAAAATTTATAATTATTTTTTCTTTATAAATTGATATTCCAAATGAGTAGTTGTGTGTTAATTGAACTCTCCCTTCTATGACCTTAGCCACCCACTCTTCCAAATGAAAATAATAAAATTCTTCACTCGATGAAAATCTCCTTAAAAAAGCTCCAACCCAATTTATCCTTTAATTTGAATTTCTTAATTTTTTTTTAATTTAATGGAGATAAGTATGATTTGAGTGAGAAAATATAGAACTTTTTAGTTGTACTACTAACGTGATAGATTGAACTCTCCTTGATTACAAGATCATCTCAAGCACGCCACCGACATCAAGGCTTAGGCATCGTTTGGGATGACTTTCTGACTGCTTTTTAAAAGCAGCTTTCTAGTACAATAATTAAAAATTTTGAACTAAAAAGCTGATTTAAGAAGCAGTAAAAAAGTTATCCCAAATGAAACTGTAATGATCAAAATCCATTATTTTGAAAAGTAGCTTTGTGGCTTTCATCAAACTATATATTATTGATGGGATACAAGTTGCTTGTTTTCATTTGCAAGTCATTTGTTGGAATTACTCTTCCTCTTTGATTACCTCTTCTTCATCATCCATAACATTTTTCCATCAATCATTAATGCCATCCTCCCTTTCAATCAAGACAAAGAATGCTCAAAATTTCTCTTGATCGATCTTTCAACTCTAAAGCTCAATAAACTCTTACTTTTGAAGCTCTTGATCTCATTTCAACCATACCATCTTATCATCTCTGTCTTTCTCTCTTATTCCATTACAACTATAACCTACTCATGTCGGCAGTAACTCACACGCTCTCTAATTTGTGTGATTTATATTGACCCAAGTGTCAAAGACACTTGGATGATCTAGATAATGCGTTGGCTTTATTTTTATTATATATTAATAAGTACACATGCATGCTCTAGTCAGAGGCACAAGTCCAGCTTAGTTAAAAAAATATTAGTTTGAATCAACATGTGTGGTATTATTATATCAATACACCCCATCTGCTACAGGTTTGGTTATTATTACAACTTAATTTGATTCAATCCATAACGTTTTATTTTTTTTTTGTTCAGATAGGTATGAAATGGACTTTGTTGATCTATTCACTTTAGTTCTCCATTACAATTATCAATAACATCTTGTTATGCAAGATGCATCCAAAATTAAACTAAAATCAAATACAGTACTTGTTCACCCGGATCCTAATTTCATGTTGTTGCCTGCAGAAACATTCGTGACGGTGGAGATATATATGGAGTGTTTAGCATTTTAGCTTTGTACGCAAAGATCTAATACACAAACAGATGAAAGAGAGGGATTCAACAATCATAAGAGTCATCAAATTTTTTACATGAAAAATCTAAGAAAGGGAATTGAAAAACAACGAGACCTAGCAGCCAAGTTAAAATGATTACAGCAGTATTTGTCGTTGATTACAAATGATGTCATTCCTTGAGGGAAGGCAGCCGCACAAAGCAGCAAATATACATTGTATAGAGAAAATTACATGATTGGAGTTGAAATAATCCAATGACATGAGAGCTATTTTAAAGTGAATATGGCTTGTTTGTTTGATCGGGATGACTTTAGTTGGGCAAAGAAGGTTACATATAGTAGTCGAGCGACTGAGGTCTGATTAAACATAGTTGGTGAGTGGTGGAGGCTAAAAGGACCATAGTTGACTAGTGATGAAGGTTGGAGGGATCGTTGTTTGGCGATGAAGGTGGGAGTAGGAAGAATTAGTGTTGATATGATGAAAGTAGGAAGAATCAGTGTTGATATGTTTATTTGGCCCGCAGGATTATAGTTGGTGAGCGATGTAGGTCAGAAAGGTCATAGTCGGTTGACGATGGTAAGAAGGATCGTAGTTGAGTAGCAGAGGTTCAAAATACCACAGCTAGCGGGTGACGGATGTTGGAAAAGCCATAGTGGTGTGTGAAACCCCTTAAGCAAAAGAATGTTAAAGTCTTCAACATTGACGCACATTTTGGTGTAATTGTTGGAATTTCATTTAAGAAACTCTATAGTTAAGTGTCTTCATCTCGAAGCAATTCTGAGATGAGTGACCTACTGGAGAGTTACACTAATATGACAAAATTACGAGGCCCTTAGACCAAAGCGGATAATTATATCGATAGTTAAGAATTTGGGCTATTAAAAATGGTATCAAAACAATACAACAATTGGAAGATGGGAACTAAGTGGCATACCAGACAAAGTGCTATGCCATGGGAGCCACCTCTTGAATCATATATGTGACAAAATGTTACATGACGGGAGCCACCGCTTGAACTTATAAGTGTCACCTCTAGAATCCAATATATATGGTGGATTATTCTCGGATAAAGATGTTGATGAGGACATTAGTTACTTAAGTAGGGGAGATTTTGAAACCCCTTGAGTAAAAAAAAACTGAACACTTTGAACATCTCTTTAGTATTTGCTTCCAGCTTTCGTTTGTACTTTCTTGTAGAATTTAACCATCATAAACTCAGCATTCCACTCATCCACGTAATGACTGGAATTTTTGTAAGAAACTTCACAGTTAAGTGTGTTCATCCCGGGGCAATTCTGGGATGAGTGACATACTGAGAAGTTACACCAACAAAACAAAACTTTGAGGCTTTAAGGCTAAAATAAACAATATCTCGATAGTTAAGAGTTTGAGCTGTCACAGCCTCTGTGCGAGCATCAACATCTAACATTCCACTCATCCCAGAAGCTAAACTCTTTTACTTAAGGGATTTCACAAAAGAGTTTAGCCTCAATATTTAAGAGTTTAGCTAATTTTACTTAAGGGGTTTCACAATCTCCCACACTAAAGGGCTCTCTCCAATCTCCAGCCAAAGGTCTCTAGCTCTCATGTAGAGAGTGGGGATTTATTTATAGATTTTTATGAGTGGCACATCTCATAAATATGGATAAGATTTAGGACAGGTTTGGAGTGCTCAATCATAAATATAAAA